AAGGGGGGTTTTGTCGAGGGCCTTTTTGCCAAGGTTTACAGGGTTTTCGGGGCGGTGGAATAAATCAGACCTCGTGGAAATCGTTTGGGAAGATTGACGCAAAAGCTGCGCCCTCACAACTCTACACCCTAAACCCGAAACCCTGAACCCTGAACCCTGAACCCGAAACCCTAAACCCTAAACTTAAACCCTAAACTCTAAACCCTAAACCCTAAACCCTAAACCCTAAACCCTAAACCCTCAACCCTAACAGGCCTTCACACTTGGGTTCCGAGGGCTCTTGCACCCACTGAGTCGGGTCCAGGGTGTTGGTCTAAGTGTTTCTGAATGCCTGGTAACTCCCCCTAAGCCCTAAGCCCTAAGCCCTAAACCCTAGACCCTAAACACTAAACCCTAAATCCGATTTCTTGGGTCAAGGTCCCTTAAATCCTTTGGTGTTCAGGGTTTTAGGGTGTTAGGGTGTTTGGGCTTTAGGGTTGGTAAATCAGGCCATTGGTACCCTTTTGCCCTTTTGTTGTCTCTAGGTTTCTTATAAAGCAACCATTCCCAACAAGGGAGGTTTAGGGTTTAGGGTTTATGGTTTAGGGTTTAGGGTTTAGGGTTTAGGGTTTAGGGTTTTAGGGTTTAGGGTTTAGGGCCCTTGTTGCAATATGGTTGCCGGGCTACCAAACTGGGTTTAGCATTTGGGGCTTATGGCTTAGGGGGCTGAGGGTGGCCTCGCTACGTTCGCCGCAGCTCTCACGGCCTGCGGTCCTGCAGATACTGGCCTTTCCTACAAACAGATGGCGGTTGAGACGTTAGGATTTAGGGTTTAGAGTTGAGAGTTCAGGACTCAGGTTTTTGAGTTGAGGGTTCAGGACTTAGGGTTTAGAGTTTTAGGGTTCGGCATTAGGGTTCAAAGTTCAATATAAACCCTAAGCCCCCTTGCTTAAAACAGCCAACGGATAGGGTGGAAGGGGGATTGTATATGCATGTTCACATAAATACATAAACGTATATATACATATATGTATAAATTGCTTTTTATGTATCATCTCTCATCTGGAGAGCCCTCCTCAAGGAACTAGTTTAGGGCATCAGGGTTTAGGGAGTCGGTTGGGCTTTTGGGGTGCAGGGTTTAGGGTTGTAGGGCCTAGAGTGCTGCCAGGACATACGCAAGCTTGGCTGTCATCATCACTTTCACCAGCCGCACTCCCAGATGAGCTTTGCGCCTATCCAGTAGCTAAGCCTTAGAAGACCGAAGCCCTAAACCCTAAACCCTAGGCCCTAAACCCTAAACCCTAAATATATCCAGTGGGAAACTTAGGGCCCTAAACAGGTTGCGGGTCAAGGTGCAACTTAGCTACACCAAGGCTGTGCGTCGATGAGTGGCTGCAGGGGCCCCAGCGGGGGCACGGCTTCCATATTTAGGGTTTAGGCTTCAGGGTTCAGGGTTGAGGGTTTAGGGTTCAAAATTTAGGGTTTAGGGTTTAGGGATTAGGGTTTAGGGTTCAAATTTAAGGTTGAGGGTTTAGGGGGAGGCCTTGGACCTGCTTTAAAATGTAAGAGTCAAGGCTCTTGCATTGATTGTTTGGCTACGGGCTGGTGTGGGGCTGCGAACTCCCAAGAGGGGCCTGGTAGCCCTACCCTTTACTCTTTTTTTGGTTCTGGGTTCCCTTATACGTAAACCCACCCACAAAAGAGTGCCCTTATTGTAGTATGGTTACTGGGCTACCAAGGGGGGGGTTGGAGGTTGACGGCTTCTGGGTTGAAGCCAGGCTTGCGGTTCGAGTTTTAAGGGATAAGCCGAAGCACGGCCGCCCTGGGCTGGCCAAAGAAAGAGCTGCTAGGTACGCCCTTGAAATATTTTATATTGGCCCTTATTTGGTTTAAGAGGATCATCTTCAGGACTAAACCCTAAACCCTAAACCCTAAACCCTAACCCCTAAACCCTAAACCCTAAACCCTAAACCCTAACCCCTAAACCCTAAACCCTAAACCCTAAGCCCTACACCCTAACTTTCATACTGTTTTAAGGGCCATCCTGGGCTGCTTACTGACAGGCTCGGCCATCAGAATCGATGCCCCCTCTGTCTGACTGTCGCCCCCGCCTCAGCTTCGTTGGGGTTTAGGGTTTAGGGTATAGGGTTTAGGGTATAGGGTTTAGGGTTTAGGGTTTGGGGTTCAGGGTCCTTGCTGTCGGCGTTTGGGCCCCGGAACTTTTTGTAGCCTCCCTTTCCTCCCCCCCAAACCAAAAAAGACCGGTGCCCCCCTGAAGGTCTTTTGCTTGCTACCCCGGTGGTACCCTTTTCATTTTTTTTTTGTTTTTCTGGTTTCCCCTTATAAAGTAACCAACCAAAAACAGGATGTCGTTATGATAATGTGGTTACTGGGCTACTAAGTTTGGCTTCACTTCTCTAGGTAGGAGTTGAAAGGTTCGGGCTGAGTGGTTCAGATCAAGGACCTGATTGGGTGTAGGGGTTTAAGGTTTGGGGTTTAGGGTTTAGGGTTTAGGGTTTAGGGTTTAGGGTTTAGGGTTAAGGGTTAAGATTTTGAAGGTTTTCCGGTTTACGTGCAGAAGGCTTCGTGGAAAGTAGGGTTTTTGGTGTACTGCATCTCTGGGACTGATGTCTTTATCGCAGGGTCCACTGGGACTTCTTGAGTTGGGGGTTGCGCGAACCCTAAACCCTAAACCCTAAACCCTAAACCCTAAACCCTAAACCCTCAACCCTAAACCCTCAACAGCGTCACAAGTTTCGGAGATCGAGGTGTGTGCTGGGCCCTGTCGCACGGCCGCGTGGACGGGCCGCCGATCCCGCGAAACGCAGGAGGAGTATGCCAAAGCTTGGCACAGGCGACAGAAGGCGCAGATGCGCGAGGTCCTGCTGGAGAATTTAGGGTTTAGGGTTTGGGGCTTAGGGTTAGGGTTTAGGGTTTAGGGTTTAGGATTTAGGGTTTCGGAGAATCTGAACCGCCGAGCTCGTCCTGAGCTGAACTCCAAAGTCAGCAGCCATTCGTTTGCCAGTTGTTCCCAGGCTCCAAACGCTCCGTCAACCTACACACCAAACGCCCTGAACCCTAGCTTCCTGAACCCTAAACCCTAAACCTAAACTCTAAACCCTAAACCTTATAAACCCTGAACCCTGAACCCTGAACCCTAAACCCTAAACCCTAAACCCTAAACCCTAGCTGCCTAAACCCTAAACCCTAGCTGTCCTAGCTCCCCCCGAAACTCCAAGCAAGATGCGAGGTCGGACCAACCCTTTCGCAACGGATCTGACAGCGTGGGCGAGCCGAAGCCATTGCTCCAAGCTTGGGTTTAGGGTTTAGGGTTTAGGGTTTAGGGTTTAGGGTTTAGGGTTTAGGGTTTAGGGTTTAGGGTTTAGGGTTTAGGGTTTAGGGTTTAGGGTTTAGGGTTTAGGGTTTAGGGTTTAGGGTTTTTAGGGTGGTAGGGGTTTAGGGTTTAGGGTGTAGGGTGTAGGGTGTAGGGTGTAGGGTGTAGGGTGTAGGGTGTAGGGTGTAGGGTGTAGGGTGTAGGGTGTAGGAGGGTCGAGGGTTTAGGGTTTAGGGTTCAGGAATTGGGGTGACAAGTGTCCTATATGACTCGGTAGGCTCCAGGGATATCTTGTATCCTCCCCTGTTGGGTTTTGGAGGACCCTAAACCCTAAACCCTAAACCCTAAACCCTAAACCCTAAACCCTAAACCCTAAACCCTAAACCCCAAAATGTAGGAATACTTTTCAGAAGGTTTCAAGGGATGGCAACCCTGAGGTTTTCACATGGGCCCTTCCTTTTACACCTCGGGGTTTGGGGTTTATGGTTTAGGGTTCAGGGTTTAGGGTTTAGGGGTACCGTATTGGGGGGTCCTTGCTATAATAAGGGAATCTTATCATTTGAGGGTCTATATTGGGGGGGCACCCGATTTTCGTAAGCTTTTATATGGGTCCCTAACCTTCTTTGAAGGGTTCTGATTTATGGGCCCTGAATTTGTATAGGGTAGGTAAGGAGGATATCTAAACCCTAAACCCTAAGACCCTTTTAAGGGCCCTACTACCCCAGGAACCTCTGGGGCTATAGGGCTCTAGGACTCAGGGGGTTTTCGGGTTCAAGGGTGGCACGCACAGACATTGCCGGCCCCAACCCGATGATATGAACCTTTTATGGCCATGTGAGCCTTTCTTTGAATTGTAGGGTCATCGGCAGCTACATTACCCCAAACCCTAAACCCGAAACCCTAAACCCTAAAACACTAAACCCCTAAACCCCTAAACCCGCAAACCCCTAAACCCTGAACCCTTGAGGCAGCTACGAGATGCTTTAGGATTTTTTTGCCTAAGGGTTTTGTTTAGGGTTTTGGGTTAGGGTTTTGGGTTCGCAGTTCCGGGTTTAGTGTTTAGGGTTTAGGGTAGACTCGCTTTGACGCCGAGGTCGCCCAGCGGTCTGTTGTGAATTACATGCCTGCATCGATTGAACAGTTCCCTGTGTCACTGAGCATGGAATCCCAATTTGCAAGCTTAAGCAGCTGCAGCGCCAAGCGACGCACTCCCCTCAGTCTCGCGTGTGCCATTCTCCGTTTATTTCGAATTCTTCGTAGACCTTAAACCCTAGACCCTAAACCCTACACCCCGAATGGAAGAGGGAGTGGCCCGTTTCAAGCTTCGTGGCTGGCTCAAAGCTGCAGACACAAACGGGTCTGCTGCTAAATTCCACAGCACCTGACGCTTTCTCCTAAGTGCAGGCATTCAAAAAGCCACGGGGAATTCCGAACTCCCAAGCGGCATCGCCGGTTTAGTTTAGGGTTCAGGGTTCAGGGTTCAGGGTTCAGGGTTCAAGGTTCAGGGGTCCAGGGTTCAGGGTTCAGGGTTCAGGGTTCAGGGTTTAGGGTTTAGGGTTTAGGGTTTAGGGGTTTAGGGTTTAGGGTTTAGGGTCAGTTGCCAGCCGAACTACGCAGCCTTTTTCAGGCTCAGAGCCGATGAGCGACATTGCATTGTCTACAGCCGTCGCTTGACGAGGGCGGGTTCATGGCGCGGCCCCTGGGAAGCTCTTTTTTTGCAAATCTCATGAACACGCTGATGGGCGGCGAGGAGCCACGAACATATTCGGAGGATGACTTTGCAAGGTGGTTCAGTACTCTGAAGCCACCAACGCCGACCATCGTGGGCGAGGCCCTGCCCCCAGGGGTACCGACGATGGCGAGCAAGTAACCCGGCCGCTTTTACTAGTAGGCCCTTGGGGCATTTTCTCTTGTTGGGTTTCAGAGTATCATATTCAGGAATATTTTTCAGCGGGTTTTAAGGCTCATCCTAGCTTTAGGGTTGAAGGTTTAGGGCCAAGCTTAGGGTTTGGGTACGGGACCACACATGAGAAGAATGCAGTCAGCTGACCAGCAGAGAGCACGAAGGCGTTTCCTACAAAGACCCAGGTATTAAAAGGGGGGCATGTAACCCAAGGTGCCTAGTAGTCCCTCCCTACTACTCCCTCAGCTTCCCTAAAGTTCCCTACATACCTACCCCCCCCATGAACCCCCCCTACCTAAAACATAAACCCTTAACCTTAGAGCCCTATAAAGGTACGGTGTCTTTGGTGCGAAAGCCCTGACTCGCGGAGTGCCTGGCGATGAAGCTTTGGAGCTCTTGGCAACCTTTTTGCCGGTTTCGGCCTGAAGAAAATGGGTTTAGGGTTTAGGGTTTGGGGTTTGGGGTTTTGGGTTTGAGCAAGCTTCCGAAACGTTTGCCCTAAACCCTCGCTTGTGCATAAGAAACATACATGTACATATGTAGGCAATTGAGGTCAGCAATGGTAAAGCGAATATGCCCAACGGCAAGCCGAACAAGGTCAACGGTAAGGTGACTAAGGCCAACGGCAAGGCAAACGAGGTCAAACGAAAAAGCGAACAAGGCCGAAAGCGAACAATGCCCAAGGGCGAATCGAATAAGGGTCAGTCAGCAAATCGACTAATTGCAACGGTAAGGTTCAGCAGGCCAACGATGCGGCCTCATTTCTAGGGGCTTCCTCACTCTACTGAGATAGCGCCCTCATGTTACAAACTAGTTGAAGTCCCCGACAGCTCCAAACCCCAACAAACCCTAAACCCCATACGTAACCCTAAACCCTAAACCCTATAACCCAAAACCCTATATCCCTAAACCCTAAACCTTAAACCCTAAACCCTAAACCCTAAACAGAGGAAAACTACACGCCGGTGCCCTGCGCAGATGCAGAAAGCCGGCCGCCGGCACCCTGCGAAGCCACTGGAGAGTGTCAGGATCTGCAGGACTTGAAGTTTGGGGATAGGGTTTGGAGTTTAGGGTTTAGGGTTTGGGGTTTAGGGTTTAGGGGTAATTGCTCAAGAACCCCACCCCCCCCCCCCCCAACAAAAAAAACAAAAGCAAAACTTCTTCCTTATAAGTGTAATATAGGTATTATTATTATTATTATTACTTTTACTCTTTCTGGGGTTTTAAGCAAATAGACTTGAAGTTTGGGTATAGGGTTTAGGGTCTAGGGTGTAGGCTTTAGATTAGGTTCGAGGGTTTAGGGTCTAGGGTTGTAGGGTTGTAGGGTTTAGGGTTGGTAGCCCAGTGGTACCATTTACCCTTGTTTGGTTCAAGGTTCCATTTAAAAAGTAGCCAACCCCAAGAAGGGTTTAGGGTTTAGCGTTTCGGGTTTAGGGAAAATTAGTGACTGGGCTGCCAAGACTAGAAGTTTTCTACTCAGGTAGGGCTATTGAAAGAATTCATTTTGAGCTTTGCCTTTTTACATGTGTAGTGTAGGTATGGGCCAAGTAGGTTTTTCGTTTATCTTGGGTTCGTTATTTCTCTGAATTAGAGTCCGTTTTTGGGTCCCCTATAATATCGTTCGGCACACTTCAAAAATGAACCCCAAAACGGACCCCAATTTAGAGAATTACCCAATAAGCAAGAAGGGCTTGCTGGGGAACCTGGAAGCCGGCCGGCGCGTCTGCAACGACGCGTCTTTTCAAGATTCCGCAACCGTAGAACCGTGAAACCCCGAAGCCCAGAACCCTAAACCCTAAACCCAAAGCCCTGAGGACTTGGCGACCAAGTTTGAGCAAGGGTCGAACATCGCGAGAGCCTTGGCCCTGAACGCCATCAACGCCATGCAGGTCGCGCAGGTACTCCTGCGCAGGGTGGACAAAGCTGCTGTCAACCTCGTGCGCATGCCTGAGCTTAGCCACTTCAGTGCCGGTGAGCCAAATGGCCTCGGACCCGAACCTTGGCCCTTGGAAGACCAGCTGACGCTGGACATTCGGGGGCCCCTGGCTCACGGCGATCGCTTTCCGCGGCCAGGCGATATCGACGAAGACTACCTCACGAGGCAGCGAAAGGGCCTATGCTGACCTCAAACTGTTGAAACTTCAACGGCGGCTCCCCTTGCTGCTTGTTTCTGTGCTGGGTGGTTGCAGATAAGGGGGGCCACATTCCACTACCTTACCTGAGCCTTCTTGGGTAGTTAACGTGGGGTTGTAAGCATGCTACAAGCACCCGAAATATGGCTATATGCATGCAGCTAGGTACAGTTGCTCTACTTCTGACCCCAGTTATTGCCGCCCCTGAAACTACAAGTGAAGCCACATGCCCACCAATAACATAGTAAGTTCACCAGGGTTTAGGGTTCAGGGTTCATTGTGCAAGTAGTGGCTTCGCAACCCAAAAAAATGCAGGCAAATGGGGTCCGAGGTATTCGAAACCTCACAGCTCGACCCTCCACTCCAAGCCTGAACCCTTTAACCCCTGGGCCCCAGGAACTCTAGCACTAGCACGAGGGCCCTAAATCCTAAAACCCTGACAGCAAGGCCCTTCCAAAATCATAAGCCCTAGAACCCTAAACCCTAAATTGCAAGCAGGTTGATGGCCCGATGGGACTCAGAGCATCGGACAGCGACTCATCCAGCAGAATATGGGGGTTTCCGTGAACCCTTAGTTCTCTGACAGTCCAGCCAAGGTTGAGTATCTCCAGAGAGCAGAAGGGAACAGGCAGGATTCTGCCGGGTTTGTTTTGGATGCCTAATTCTGGCCTAGTTTAATCCGCTCCCCCTAAGATTAAACGGGGTGAACCCCCTCCCCCCCCCCCCCGCCCCCTTTCCCCCCTCCCCCCCTACCCCCCCTACCCCAATAGAAGCTCGAAATGCGTTTCCATCATTAGGGGGGATGTTTTTATCCGAATGTCACGTTTGGGGTCTAAAGGGTTTAGGTTCTAGGTTTTGGGGAGAGGGAAGGCGGGTTTAGGGTTTCAACGAGTAGGTTTAAGGGAGAGGGCAGGAGGGTTTAGGGTTTCAGGGCTTAGGATGGCTTGAGGGTTTTGGGAGCCCTGAACCCAGCCCCTAATTCGGAATAGGTTTTCCGGAAAGTGTTTTTGTTTTGTTTTTTTCACTAGGGGGGGGGGTATTTAATAAAAGGGGGAAGGGCTTAAGGATCTAGGATCCATCCGACCTTCGAGGCTTTAACAAACATCCCGAACCCCACCCAGACACGCATGCACACACCCTAAAGGCCCTGTGCATGATAGGCTAGGACCGGGAGTAGGCCCTTTTTTTTTTTAGGGTTGGGGGTTCCCTTGCAACCCCATTAAAACCCAAAAGGATACCCTTTTGATTCCTAGGTTACTCCCGGGTCTAGTAGGCTCCCTGGTGCGAAGCCGAAGCCGACCAGAAGCTCCACAGAGTTCAGGGCTTCGGGCTTCCGGACCCTGAACCTTGAGCCTTGAAACCTTGAACCCCACACCCCAAACCCCAAATCCTAAACCCTAAACCCTAAACTGTACCCTAAACCCTAAACCCTAAACCCTAACCGTTAACTACTAACCCCAGTTAACAAAGAAGGGGCATCTCAGCAATCCTGAGCTCTGCTTCAACTCGGTGCAGGCCCCTCCAGCTTATCGAGGAGATGGGGCGCATGCCGATCTTCGAGCCCCTTCCCGAGCCAACTCCTATCAAGGAGCAGCCACTTGAGGTCCTTAGGTTTCTATGCGGGTCGCTTCAGCCAAGGGGGGGAAGGGAGAGGGGCGTGAGGAAGAGCCGAAGGAAGAGGAAGGTAGAAAGGGGTTGCACAGGGCAGAGGGGAAAGGCTTGACTTAGGAGCTGGCAAGGTAAAGCAAGAAGAAAAACGAGGCAAAGGAGGCCATGGCGCAGCAAAGTTTGGAGGGTAGGCGGGGTTAGGGGTTTAGAGGGGGCAGGGAAAGGCGGGGCGGCAGAAAATGCCGAATTCGGTGCCCTTCCCGTATGGTAATCGGCTTGGCGGTATATGCAGGGTTGAGGTCTTGGGTTCATACGCAGGGATGTGAGTATCCCATGCACTGTTATACCCAGCTACGGCTTCGGCTTCCCTAGTCGCCCGCCCATTTTTTTTTACAGTAGGGTGTCGGCCTACGCCCCTAAAGCGCCAGGAGTACCAGGTTACGACAAATCCCACGATTCTGGATCCGCTGACTCAGCGCCTCGTCCGTCTTGTCCGGTGGGGATTTGGGATTTCGGGCAGGTTCGCAGTTTAGGGTTCAGGGCGTTAAAACCCTTCACCCTTAGCCCTCATAAAGCCCGAACCCTCAAACTTTGAAACCCGGAAACCAATAAACAATAATATTGTTCACTTTATGGGTAGTGTAGTCTATGATAAGCTACTATTTTGCGCCGAATTCCACAATCCGAAGCCCATAAACCCTCAACCCTTAAACCCTAAACTACTATTGAAGAAGACCCCCCCCCCCCCCCAAACGAATAAAAAAAGAACAAGCACAAACAAAAACACAAACAAAAAACAGACTCTTCCTCCTTATCATTGTACTCTAGGGATTATTTCTTTTGGTGGTTCTTGAGCAATTTGTAGAAACTTGGTAGCCCAGAGGTGCCTTTTTGCCCCCTTTTGTTGGCTCTACGTCTACGTCCTGGTAACGTATACTTAGGTAGCCAACCCAAAACGGGTGTCCTTATTACAATATGGTTCCTGGGCTACAGCGATATGGCAGTCATTTATAGTACCTGGTTGGTTCCTTTTTTCGTAAGAGCCTGCTTTGTTGAGGGACTGCTATGCCATGGTATCCTCTCATTTACAAAGGGTTTTTAGTCTAGATTGCCCACATGTTGGGATGTTCCCCTTTATACTCGCAGTGCTTAATAGGGACTATAGTGACTATAGTACTCCATATTAGAATCCCTCTTAAGGACTGTTAGTATAGGGGGGAGCGTTTAGGGTACCCCAACCAAGCCACAAAGCCCTTAACTAACCCTCCACGGCAACAGGATGACGATGCTTCAAATCCCGGCTGCGGCACTGATCGCATCGATATCGATGTCCCTTGGCTCCCACTTCTGGGATATTGCAGTGTCGGGTTTTGGGTGGCCCATTTTTGCTTCCAGGATACTGAGGAACTTAGCTAGGGCAGGGCTTAGGACTTAGGGGCCAAGACCGTTTAGGCGGCTCGGGTACCCCAACTGAATGCATGCCCCTGAAAATGCCCCATTTTGCCCCTCACCCTAAACCCTGAGCCCTAAGCCCTAAGCCCTTGACCCTTAACCCTTGACCCTTAACCCTTAATTAACCCTAAACCCCAAACCCTAACCCCAAACCTTATAAACCCCAAACCCTAAACCCTGAACCCTAAACCCTAAACCCTAGACTGCGGCGCCGTTGAAGTTGCAAGGTCCGCGGCGCTCAGCGAAGTGCAGCCTCAGCTGCAGCGACGGCAGCGCTACCACGACTTCCTGTTGTGACCTCTGAAAAAATGAGAAACCTGGGTAACCTTAAGTTTAAGGCCCTAAACCCTAGCCCTAAACCCTAAACCCTAAGCTCTAAAATCTGAACCCTAGCCCTAAACCCTAAACCCTAAGCTCTAAACCCTGAATCCTAAGCCCGAAGCCCCAAGCCCGAAAGCCCTAAGCCCTAACCCTGTAGTGCCCAGTTGCGCCCCTTATTCCTTTTTTTCAGGGTTAGGGTTTAGGGTTTTGGGTTTTGGGTTTTGGGTTAGCAGTCGAAGCTCCAGTAATCAACCATGCTGAGGGCGCCCTTCTTGTCGTGATTATTGGAACCCTAACCGCCCTAACCCCTAAGCCCGTAGCCCCTAAGCCCCTAAGCCCCGAAATCTTAAACCTGAAGCACCCCCCCCCCCCCCCCGAAAAAGTACAACATATTCTTCCTTCTGAGGGGATTACTATCTTTCTCTTTTTGGAGGTAAACCCTAAACCCTAAACCCTAAACCCTAAACCCCAGGAAGCCGGAAGCCCAAGAAGAACCCCGGAGTTGATCCTCGCGGTGCTTGCAATCCTTATTAGGGCTTCTTTAGGGTTTAGGGTGTAGGGCTTAGGGTGTATTGGGTTTAGGGTTTAGGGTTCAGGGTTTAGGGTTCAGGGTTCAGGGTTTAGGGTTTAGGGTTCAGGGTTCAGGGTTTAGGGTTTCGGGTTTAGCAGGGTTTCGGGTGCACCCCGAAGCTCAGAAACCCCAAGCCCCGAAGCGTTTAAAGTTTAATTCACTGAAGCCCCCCGGTTCGCCACCCTGCCCCCGAAGACAAAAGGGTTTAGGCTTTAGGGTTTAGGGTTTAGGGTTCTTGAGGCTTCATATGGGGCGTAGAGTTCGCTGGTATATTCATCCGATAGCTACTTGAAGAAGCACCCTTGGGTAGTTCTGTTAATGGGGTTCGCTTGGGCTCGTTTTTTCTTGTATGGCCCCAAACAAGAAAAAAAAAGGTACCTTAATTTGGAGAACTACCGGCTCGAATTGTGAGGCTGTTGGGGTTCATGGAGGGGAGGGTGGGTTAGGAAGGAGGGCGCAAGGAGGTGTAGGCTGGTAGAGGGTGCTTAGAAGGCTGTAGGATTCAGTGTTTTTTAGGTTTTTTTTTAACGGGCTTTAGGGCTCAGGTTGGTTGAGGGGCTTTAGTGGGTTTAGGGTTTAGGGTTTAGGGTTTAGGGTTTAGGGTTTAGGGTTTAGGCCCTCCCAGACTCAACCCGAAACCCAAACCCCAAACCCTAAACCTCTCTTTGTCTTCTTGCTGAAAGTCGAAATGTGTGCGGTTGCTTTGGACTGATAGGGCCTTAGCCTTTATTCCAGGGTTTAGTTCTTATGGGACTGGGCTCGCTGCTAACAGGAGCCGAAATCATGACCGACATGTTTTTTCTGGTTTAGGGTTTAGGGTTGGGAGATTTCTCCCTTAAAACTACTAACAGTCCTTGATAGGGATTGTAGCAGCCCCCATTCTAATCCCTGTTAAGGACTGTTAGTAGAAGGGGGAACATCCCAAATCTAGGCTCTCCGATGGAGGACCCTGCGCTTGTGAAGACAAAACCTCCACTGTACACAGAACTTGGTAGCCCAGTGGTACCCTTTCCCTTTTTTTTTTGGTTATGGGTTCCCCTATAAAGTTAACTACGTAACCTCAAGAAGGGTGCCCTCATTACAATATGGTTACTGGGCAACCAAGAAAAGAACGCGTTTCGCCCGTCTTGGCCGATGAGGTGTATGTGTTGCTGCTGGGCGCTCTTATTTTTTCTTACACAGACCTTGTCTAACGAGGGGACATTTGGTCTACTAGTTCCAACTAGTTGCAACTGGAGCCTGACTCTATACCCTGTATTGGTGCATGCTTGTAGCGTGTTATACATATGTATATATATATATATTATATATGTGTATCTACTCTCTGTCTCTCTTTTTCGTCTCTATTACACTCATAAGAAAACGCCCTCATAGACAAACTGTCAGAAAAGCTTGCTGGGCAGTTCTTGGTTTTACTGTTGAGGTGCAGCGTCAAGCCAAGTAGGGTGGCCATGTGAGCAGCCGAGATGTCGAACTCCAGGCTGGGGGGTGAAAGCTGAGGAGTCCCAGAGGTTCAGGACCATGGGTTTAGGGTTTAGGGTTTAGGGTGTAGGGTTTCCGAGAGGTTCAGCTCGCAGTCGCAACAACCTGCCGATGCTTCATGTGGGTGACGGGCATGCTAACTGCTTGAGAACCCCCCCAAAAAAAGAAAATATTCTTCCCTATAAGGGTATAGTATAGTGATTGTTTTTTGATTACTGCTTAAGAACCCCCTCAGAAAAATAAAGATATTCATCCTTATAAGGGTAAAATGTAGTGATTATTGTTTTTGTTGCTTTTGGGGGGTTTCTAAGCAAATAGTAGTTCTGCTCCCCACATCGTCGGATCCATCTTCGCTCCAAACAACCCCAAACCCTGAAGCCTAAGAATTCCGAAGATCGCAGCACCTAAGCCCGAAGCCCGAAGCCCGAAGCCGTAAACCCCAAACCCCGAAACCCGAGATCACAGAATCCGGAACCCTAAACCCGAAACCCTAAACCCTAAACCCTAAAGCCAAGAAGTCACCATACCCGACAGGGCCCCGCTGCCGCCGGTCAGCGCGCGCACTGGCGGTGCTGGCCGAGGCTTGGAAGATGGATTCGGAGATATATGGGGAGGTTTCGGGTTTAGGGTTTAGGGTTTCGGGTTTCGGGGTTTAGGGGTTTAGGGTTTAGGGTTTATAGGGGTTCAGGGTTTAGGGTTTAGGGTTAGGGTTTAGGGTTTAGGCTTAGGGTGTAGGGCTTCGGGAGAAGGGGTTTAGGGTTCAGGGATTCAGGGTTTAGGATTCTAAGCCGGTTTCGGGGATTACGTACGTTGGACTTGGAGTGGGTAGGCGGAATTTAGTAGTGTCAGCCTCGGGGACGGACTACTTAAGGCAATCGTATCCTCTGTTGGGCAAAGTGGTCCGTTCTCACTCACGCGTACGCCAAACCTTGAGCCCGAAACACTGTACTGCAAACCTTACGAACCTCAGCCCGAAACCTACTTGGAGGTTTATGGTACTTCTTAACCAATTCTAACCGTTTCTTACCGCACTTTGAAGCCGCTTAAGTCTTAAGTGCCCTCATATGGCTATAAGTACAGGTATAGGTACAGTCATAATTGGTTAACAAGTACCATGGACCTGCAAGTGGGTGTACCTTGGGATGTTCCCCCTTAAACTAACAGCCCTTTGTAGGGATTGCATAAGGGGGTACTTGTACAGTCATAATCTATTATTTGCTTAAGAACCCCCAAAAAGAAAACAATTCCCGGCCTGTACTAATTACTCTTCACAAGGAAGAATATTTTCATTTTT